ACCTGATCTCTGAGGAGAGCCTCCATCCAGAGCTGTCAAAAGCAAATTAATTTCATGTTGTTTCTCTCGATCAAGTGTATTCTCTAACACAAGTTCAACCCTGTTATTATCAACAGCTAAAATAAAATTATCATTTTTTTGTAAGCTGTACCTTTGAACTGAATTTTGGCCTATATCTGCGTCGTGGGCCTCTTCTATCGCGAATCGGTTACCTTTATCTGCTGACTCTCTGATTTCCATCTCAATCATATTTTGTCTAAATGTGGGCACATTATCGTTCACATCTTGAACATGAATACTAATGCGGTGCAGCTCCAGTGGATTTTCCAACACCAGATCCACCTTCAAAACACACGACGGTTTCTTGCCGCACAGGCTTTCCCTGTCGATTCTCTCTGACGTGATCAAATCCCCGGTGCTCACATTAATGTCACAGTACTGCTTTTGACTCTCCTCGAAATCAACACGGGCATTTCGTAAAGACATGGCTCGTAGCTCTATACCAAGATCCTTAGCCAGATTCCCAATGTAAGATCCGCGTTTCATTTCTTCCGGGACGGAATAACTGAGGTCTCCATGAACAACATGACTCGTTAAAACGAAGAAGACAAAGCAAAAGATCCGACCCGGCGTTAGAAGCCCTTTGTTTCGCATTGTGCCAAAAAATACTCCAAATGTACACAACTGAAATCCAAATGTGACGTAAAACATATTCCACGGTAATCAAAAAATCCACACTGGTACACACACCGAGTATGGTCGAGACTATGAGTGAATTTCTAGAGAAAAAGATGCGTGTTATAAACGCAGTCATGGGGGTGTGATGGGGATATATTTTCTGTTAGCCAACAGCGACACCCAGAGTTTTTTGTTTAAACTTACACTTGGGTGTTACAAAATGTATACCAAGGAGTACATTTGCACTCATGAGATCACAATTATGTCATTGATTTAACATGAAAACTTTTAACAAGACAGATAACACAAGGAAAGAGTAAATCTAAAACAGATTTCATGGGTGTAAATTTTCAAACAGTGAAAAGGGCATCAA